GCTGGACCATAAAGAAGGCTGACCACTGAAAAATTGATGCTTTTGAATTGTGGTGCTGGAAGGAGACTCTTGAGAGTCCCTTGGACTGCAAAGAGAACAGACCTATCCATTTTGACAGAAATCAACCCTGCATGCTCACTGGAAGGACAGATCCTGAAGCTGAGGCTCCAATACTTTGTCCATCTCATGAGAAGAGAAGACTCCCTAGAAAAGACCTGATGTTGGGAAAGTGTGAAGGCAAGAGGAGAAGGGGACGACAGAGGATGAGATAGTTGGACAGTGTCATCCAAGCTACCAACATGAATTTGACCCAACTCTGGGAGGCAGTGAAAGACGGGGGGCCTGGCTTGCTCTGGTCCATGGGGTCAGGAAGAGTCGGACACGACTTAACGACAAAACAACAACAAAGTGGTATGCATGTTGTTCTGTTGTCATAGGATTACTTTACTCGCACATTGTTGAGAGAGAATTTCACAGTACGTAGGAAGTTCACTCTGATTGAACTGCAAAGACATTTATGCAAGCACTTTCTTCATGCGTCTGGTCATTTTTTCAGATATTCTGCTGTGGCAAAGCCACTCAGTCTGATTCTGTTATGAGCAGGGGCATGATGAATGGGAAATGTGTGGCTTCTAGATGTTACATCATCATCCCTTATCATTAGGCATGCTGGTTAGAGCTGATGGGACCTGTAGTCCACTGTGTTGTAAGGTGCACATATTTATCACTACAATGTATATTAATAGCATGTATTTTTAACACAGGGTTGTGTTCATTTGGTTTTTTCCCCTGTGTTATCTTTTAAAATTACACACACAATCACAAGGAAAGCTGGCATGTGGCTTTAGCAGGCCTATGTCCTTCTCAGTGTACACCATATTATTGCAACTCCAATTATGTAAGAGTCTATCCAGTAACAGCGATGGGATTTTTGGAATTAAAGATATTTTCACCCAGAATGCCCCAGGCTGAATTACGGGAGTAAAATCCCTCAAACCAGGAGGAAGACAGAGCAGCCCTTTTACGTCCCTGATGTTCCCACTCCATTTCTGTAGAGTGGGAAGGAAAGCACCCAGCTGCCTCCACACACTTTATATGAAGGCAGCCTCTATCAGAACTCACCCTCCCATAAACCTTTAACAAGGCTCAAGGAATCCTTGTGACTCATACACTGCAGCTGGGTGCTTTTCTTCTTGCTTCACAGAAACAGTGCAGAAATGACACAGAGATAAGAAGGCTGCTCTACTGCCAGTTGGTTTGAGGGCATTTACTACTGTTATTTGGCTCTGGAGGATTCTCATGAAATTATGGGAATAAAAATTTGTTAATTCTGAAAATTTCATTCCTATTCAGTAGTCCAGCTCTGGTACTTCTGATAGTATGATGTTAATCTGGACAACCACATACAGTACGTCTAACATGAATTCTACAATGAAGAGGAGCTCCTGTGTCCTTCCTGTCAGATCAGTTTGTCAAAGAGTGACAGCCAGATTGCATAGTTTATAAAGACATGCGTTTCTCCAGCACAGCATCTATTCCCAAGTTTTGGTTTAGTTTTGCAGTTGGAGCTTGGAGGGGGAATTGTGTAGTGAGTGGCAGTGGTAGCAAGCAGAACCATGGAGGTATCATCACTGCCAGCTTCACAAAGCCACATCTCAAAGCCTTTTGCCTCCTGCAGGGGTGTTTCTCAACGCAGCCTGAATAGGGGCCTGATTGCACCTCTTTCCTTGATTACACAGCAAGATTTCCTGGGGATGCTGCCTCCTAAATGACAGTGGAGGTTGTCACTCTGTAATTATGACACTTTCAGCTGCACTGCGAACAGATTTTTCAGTTCCCTGGAACAAAAAAAAAGAAAAAGAAAAGAAAAAGAAGACAGGTTACTGTAGGGCTTATCTTCCACCTGACCCTTTGGCATGGGCATGACTTCCTGTTCCAGATGGATTTGATGGCAGCTGCTTGACTCTCTCTTGCAGGCACAATGTGCCCTGTTGCCACCTCACTTCCATTTCATGACACTAATAATCATTCTGGCACTTCTCCAGGAGCCTGATGGCTGCTCTTCATTTGCATACATTTTGTAATCAAAAAACAAATGAACATGACCATAATATTTGCTTCTACTTGCCTCTTCCTTGATGAGTGCATATAAATTGCTTGTTGTTAGAATTCGCCAGTGGTAAACAGCCATCATGTTTGTTTGATTCTTGCCCTGTTGTTAGAAATTGGAAGACGTATGGGGGTTATGCTGCATTTTATCCTCTGGCTTGGGTTTCAACAGCTTGGACATCATTCTGTAGCTGGAAAATGTGCTTAAGAAACTTCATGGTAAAGCAGGGTTGTGCAATACATGGAGATAAAGAGAGACAACACCCAGAGAGCTATATGAGTGATAGCCCTCTTTTGATTTATGCTGCATTTTTTTGTTTTTGCTTTTATGCATTTGTTTGTTTTGACCTGCCAGTTAGGGACAATTCACATAATCCATCATGGTCCCTTCCAGATCTCTTAGATGACAAATTGCAAATGTTCTGACCATTAGCTGTGCTGGATCAGACTTCTGCAAGTTGAAGTCCAAAACATTTGGAGGGTTTCATGTAGGGGAAGGCTAACAAAACATCTTCCTTGGCTTTGCTCCCCAATCCTCATACAAAGTGGTTTCCTTCGCCACAGTGGGTATAAGAACAAGACGATGTATCTGACTGTTGTGTGACAGACCAGGTCAGTATAGGTCTGCAAATGAGAAATAAAAAGCTGAACCTTTGGAATAGTGAAATGGCTGCAGGGTTAATTTCCCCCCAGGGTCACGAAACAGCCACGTTAAGATGGTGTGCTAAATAACAGTGTAAGGAGAACAAGCTATAATGAGCCTTGGGCTTCTGTGTTTCTTTCCGTTCTCCAGTCTGGCCATGATTTTCCTCATTCTGCCACTAAGAAGAACAGTTGAGGTAGCAGCACAACACAAACTAGCAATAGAACGATGTGCTTTGATTCCTCCCTCATATGGTAAAAGTGATGTGTGTGTGTGTGTGTGTGTGAGTGAGAGAGAGAGAGAAAGAGAGAGAGAGAGAGAGAGAGAAGGACTCTCCTTCTGAACCATTAGCAACACCTTATTGTGTTCAAACTTTAGAGACTGCAGTTAATCTTAACTGTAGCTTGAAAGAAGCCAATATCAGAGCATGAGTTAAAAAGATGGCATATTTCAATTTGCCATGGCTTACATTAGCCATAATTTAGGTTTAAAACAGCACCTAACCATTAATGGAGGTGGGAAGTGGACACTGCCAAACTCCTTCTGCAGCCCATATCCGAGACAAAAAGAAGGGAGACCATAGATTTGATGTTTTTTGTAGCTTATTCTCTGCATGCCAAACTATGGTCAATATCACCATGGATTATTGTTGAAGGAAGCCACAAAACAAGTATGTGAACAGCCCCAATTAAAACTCTTTTATTTTACTATGCATCCTCTAAAGAGCAAATTTATTGTGCACATTTGAGCCTGTTTTCCAATCATGTCTTAATTTGATGGTGATCCAGATGGTCACCAGAGAAACAAGATGAACTAATTAATGACTGCAGAGTGCTTGCAGGCTGCACAGTGCAGTGTAAGCACAGTTTGTTGTCATTAGTAATTGTTGTAAATATCAGAGAGGAGGGAGATCTGCACTCTTTCAGTCTTGACCTACAATTTATGATGATCAAATAGTACTTCTCCCAGAGCAAAAGCAGTATATATTATGTATTGGATCCTATGTATGCTGTGGTAACTGAAAACATAAATATGTTTGGGTTTCTAAAGTTGTTAAATGGAGAAGACAGTACAATTCTAGCATACTCTAACAATGGTTCCCAATCTTGAGTCCCCAGATTTTCTTGGACTAAAATGACCAGCAGCTTTTACTATTAGCTGTGCTAATCCCAGGATTTCTGAGAGTTGTAGCCCAAGAACATCTGGGGACCCACAGTTGAGAATCAGTGCTCTAATAACTCAGGAGCAAATAACCCCAAACAACTAGTTACTTGTAATTAATTCCATTTCCTTTTGAAAAATATAACTACATTGTGTTAGGCTTGTAAATTGCCCTCATTCCTTTTGTGGAGTTTAACTTTCCATTACTTTTATATTTACTAGTATGTGGCCTTACTGTATGATGGAAGAAGGATGCCACGTGGTTCAGGTGCTTGCTTGTGTTGTGCCTTGTGCTGCTGCCTGAGGCGCACGCGCGCACACACACACACACACACACGTAACTGTAACTAATTTCTTTTCAAAAATAACTACCTTTTGAAGCCCTGATCTAATTTATTCCACAGGTGATACATATGTGATAGATATGAAGGGTGTTTACAGTATTAGTCTATTAGTAAAGTTCAACTGGATTAAGTCTTCCACTAGGATACCAGGGTTAAACTTTTTCTCCAACCTGGCCTATCTGTTATATTGGCAAAATATTGGGCGCAAGCATCCATCATGCTGTAAATGATGGCAGGTTTCAGGTGAATTTGTCAGAGGTGTGCTTACCAAATGTATCCCTGATGCCTGGTTGGCACTTGGAAATCTTTAATTGACCAAATAATAGGTTCCACAGTATGGAAAGGAACTAATGCATTTTCCAAATTTATGGCAATGATCTTGACTTGCCCTGTGGATCCAGCTGTCTAAGAAAGTGGTTTCTAAACTCCTGAAGGAGTGATTGAAAATGGAATTAAATCAGGGATTGCGAGTGAGTTATTGAAATTTCAGAATTCATAGCACAGCAGGGACCTCGTGGATGAGAAAGAGGATGAACACACAATGAAAAATCCTTCAAGGAATCGATAGAAGACCTGCACACATCACCCCTGTTCCTGCTGCTCAGGGGCCATGGAGAAGGTGACTATGGACTCAGTTGTATTTCAGGATGTTTATTTCTGAACCAGTCTTTCAGCTTTCCCTCTTGCCTTTTAAGTTTGGCCTTCACTTGATGTTGGAAGGGGAGGCAATGGAATTTTCTGCCTTCTGCTGCTGTCCTGTGACAGCAACATTGGTCTAGAGTGGAGTTACTCTGTCCTCCCACAGTCCTTCATTGCAGACATGTTCCTCCAGTCTTAAAGCTATTCATAGTTGACAATTGTTTGAGGCAATTTAGATACAATGGTAACTATGTATGGCAGAGTTGGACAGTGTAGTTATTACTTTCATTTTTTTAATGGAATAAAAAAATGGCAGGTAGTAGAATAACTGACAAGAAACTGAACTGGTTCTGCTTTCACTGTGGTTTGACTCTGAAATACTGTTGTTAAAAGGTACATGAAATAATCCATCGCATATAAAGCTATCTTGTTGGAAGGTGTTCAGAGTATAAATGTGGGTTATAAATTAATTATTATAAACAAGCCAGATCAGAGTACAGTAGATCACTTTTGTATATACTTGCTCAAAAAATGATGTTTTAAAACAATGAAAGGGCTGGAAGCTATAACAGTGGGTAACTATTTATATGATACAATGGACCCTTGACTTACAGACGGCTTGACTTACAGACTTTTTGAGTTACAGACTTCTCTGGCTGCAAAATTTAGGTTTGACTTGCAGACTAAGATTTGATTTACAGACCAGAAAAAAACCAAAATGGAACAGAAACAGCCAGTTACAGGATTAATCGGTTTTCAATGCACTGTAGGTCAATGGAGACTTGACTTACAGACTTTTTGACTTGAGAACTTAAGTTCTCAAGTCAAGACCCCACTGTGTGATGAGAAAACAGAATATAACATATTAGGAAAAAAAAGAGACATAAATAAATAAAGAAGACAACAAAAAATATTGTTACACCTTAAAGACAAAGGGCTATATTTTAATGTGAGCTTTCACGGACAAGTCCTCTTCCTCAGACATGAGAATGGGACTACGTGGCAAATATTTATACATGACCCCGAATCAGAGATTGTATCTGGGCACAGGTTGTTGACCTGGCAATGACATTTTAAACCCTTGCGGATATTCATTTCCCCTCTCAGGAAATATTGTTCTGTAAACAATGACAATCATGGGTGGCTAAATTAATCCCAGGCTACAGATAACAAGCAGGAGCAATATGGGAAGCAGTATCTCTAATCACCAATGGGCCTTTTGAGGTGGCACATATATATAGTAAGGACATAGAATATGAACTGTTGGGTGGTTCAATGGGCATATGGAGAATACTGAGAATTTCAGCAGATACAACACAATATTTTATATTTTACAATTAACTAAGAAACATTGGCTTATATTGAGTCCTTTGAGGTGGGTTTTAAGCATGTGTATATTTTATTTCAGCTCTCTCTCGCTCTCTCTTGATTCCTGTAATTTTTCTTTCATTCTTGTGCAAAGTATCCAGGTAAATTAAAGTGATGTGAAACAGGTTTCTGTATATTAACATTTCTGGTGTCCAATTTGTGTGTGTGTGTGTGTGTGTGGTGTGTGTGTGTGTTTTTGCAGAGAGATTGCTCTATATAGAGTGCAGACAGGCATTGTTGGCTAAATATATATCTTACCCATCTAGTGGTGAATCACTACTCTGAGTGGCCAACAACAATTAGAAACACATACCCACCCATCCAAACAAAAATCACACAAATGCTAACAATCAATGAAAAAGAGAAAAAAAGACATTTCTGTCCTGATCCAAGACAGCTTAGATAATTCAAAAATAATTTTTAAAGCAAAACAATAGTAAGAACAAATACTAAAAAGAATCAAATATAAATAAAAAGTGGTAGCAGCAGCATCAAAACACATTCAACAGGGGAGGGAGGATATTCTTATATGCCTGTTTGAAAAGCTCAGATTTCACAGGCTTTCTGAAGGTTA